TCTAAAACGCAGAAGAAATGATAAAGTAGCAGAACTACGAAGTGTGGACGACTTGGAAAAACAAGTTAAAGAAGAAGTGGAGGGATGGCTTGAAGATGCAAGGAAGGTCATTGAAATTGAAATGCCAGATATTGAAGAACAAGTGCGGAATGTTTCATACTTGTCACGTGGTAACCTTGGGAGACGTGTTCGTCAAAAGATTCAAGATGTGAAGGAAATTTACGATCGAGGTAGTTTCCCTGAAGGTCTTGTAATTGAAAGGCCTCCAACTATTGGAATCACATTGCCAACAGAGAATATGGTGGGCGAGGTTGATGTGAAGGAAAAAATTTGGGAATACTTAATGGGTCACGAGGTTGGAATTATTGGAGTTTGTGGAATTGGTGGAGTTGGCAAAACCACTGTTATGAAACACATCCATAATGAATTACTGAATGAGGCTGACAGGTTTAAGAAGGTCGTCTGGGTTACAGTATCACATCCTCTCAATGTTTGCAGATTGCAAGATGACATTGCTAGGGCAATGGGCAAAAATCCTTCAGATTGGGGGGATGAATTGAACCGGGCATCAAGACTGATGGAGGCTATGAAAAAAGTTAAATATGCACTGATCTTAGATGATGTCTGGGATAAATTGGCTCTTCATAAAATTGGAATCCCAGAACCAACAATGGAAAATGGGTGTAAAATCGTTATTACTAGCAGATCCATTGATGTATGCAACTACTTGAGATGTCAGGTAGTTAGAGTACCACCTCTACCAGAGGAAGAGTCTTTGAACTTGTTTTTAGATAAGGTTGGGCAAGATGTTCTACGAATTCCCAATTTGGAAGATGTTTTGAAGCTTATGGTGGCTGAATGCGCTGGTTTGCCATTGGCCATTGTTGTCATTGCGGGGAGCATGAGAGGAGTACAAGATATTTCTGAGTGGAGAGATGCATTACGTGAATTGCGTCAGGGTATGGTGGACACAGAGAAAGATTCAGAAGATGAGATATTTAATCGTTTGAAGTTCAGTTATGACCGTCTACCAAAAAATTCAAGCAGCCAAGAGTGTTTCTTATATTGCTCATTGTATCCAGAAGATTGGAATATTAGCAGAAAAGATCTAATTGAAAACTGGATTTGTGAGGGAATTGTTAAAAAATTAGGAAGCAGAAGAGAAATGCATGATAAAGGAAATGCTATTTTAAATAGGCTTTTAAACTGTTGTTTGTTAGAGGAAGCCTATGATGAGGCGTGTGTTAAGATGCATGATGTTGTGAGGGACATGGCATTGCGCATCAAGAGCACGGGTCCTGGTAGGTTTATGGTAAAAGCTGGAATGAGATTGACAGAGATACCGGATGAGGATGAATGGAATGAAGATCTAGACAAGGTCTCCCTCATGAAAAATGAAATATCATATATCCCTGAAAATATGTCCCCTAAATGCTTAATGCTCTCAACCTTGATTTTGGAGGGTAATTACGGATTGAGACAAATTTCAGAGTGTTTTTTTGCTAACATGCCCCTGTTGAAGTTTCTTGATCTTTCTCAAACTGGCATTGAGGTTCTACCTAATTCCATATGTAACTTGGAATATCTCACTGCACTGATCCTCTGTGGATGTCAGCTTTTAGAACGCATGCCTTCCTTGTCAAAGCTTAAAGCACTGAAGAAGTTGGATTTGAAGGGAGCAGGCCTTCGTGAGGCTCCTGAAGGCATTGAAATGTTAGAAAATCTGGAATATCTTGATTTATCTTGTCCCTACCTGAGGGTGCTACCGAGAGGAAAAATCAGTAACCTCTTCCGCCTCCAATACCTATGTAAGCATCGAATTTTTCCAAGTGAAATAAGGGGAGAAGAAGTAGCAGGTTTGAAGATGCTGGAATTGTTTGAAGGTGGATTTGATTGGCTGAAAGACTTCAACAGTTTTGTTAACAAGTTGTACCATTTTGGAAGACCCTGTCATTACTTTATAAAAATGGAAGAAGAAACAGGCGCGCCAACGGGATTGCAAGCGGTTCGATTCTGGGTTAATTAGAATTCATTATGGTTATCGGATATCAAGAAATTAGTACCAAAAGATATGAGACACACAGACAAAGATGAGGGGTATTTTTGGAAGTTCAACAATAATGATCTTCCTAACCGGGTAATTTTATTTAGATGCAAGATGGGAGAAGAAGATGAGTTGGTCCTTCCAGATGACCTTCAGGATTTGTGGATTGAAGACTGCAATACGGTCGGTGATATTTCTATTTTTCAGAAAGATTTTACTCAATTGCGAACATGTGGTTTGAAATACTGCCAAGGGATAGTGTGTGTGGTCTCTTTGCTATCATCTTCATCTACTTCCTTGACAGTTATGAATAACCTTGAAGCACTAACTCTTCAGTGTTTGCATAGCTTGCGGGATGTTGTGAAAGTGGAAAAAACAGGAGCATCGATTGCACCACCAATATCCCCTCACATCTTTCCCAATCTTAAACAGCTGAGGCTATGCTATTGTTCAAAATTGAAGAAGCTTTTTCCAAGGGAGCTGCTGCAGGGTCAGGGCCTCCAAAACTTGGAACTGATTATGGTGCACAATTGTTGGGAGATGGAGGAAATAATAGGATGGGAAGAAGAAGAGGAAGGAAATCAAACAACTACTCCAATATTGATCACTCTTCCAAAATTAGAGGAATTGAAGTTGCAATGCCTACCAGAATTGAAGAGAATCTGCCCCAAAAGAGGAGTAATGGTTTGTGAATCTCTCAATCGCATCGCGATAGAGTTCTCTTCGAAGGTAAAGAGGATTCCCCTTTGTCTTGGAAGGGAAAACGCGCAACCATCTCTTCCTGCTGTCGAATCTATCTATATTTCCAATCCAACAGAATGGTGGGAATCGTTGGAGTGGGAGAATCCTGACGATAAGATTGTCCTCCTACCTTTGCTCAAATATAAGTTCTAGTAAGTCTCATTAGTCTCCCTTTTTCTATCACTTGCATTCCATTGCTTCTCTCTCACTGGTATTTCATAACTAAATGTTTCTATCTCTTATTTCTGAATGAATCTCAGTGTTAATGTCCATTGATTTGCTCAATTATCTAATCATGACTGATTTGCTAATAAGATGTCTGTCTCGCTAATTCCTTTTTTTAGTATTCACAGGGGCAACCCTTGGGTAGATATTAAATATGAGTCTAGGAGTTTCAATTAACAATTGACTAGTTTCTAATGCGCAGCTCAGCTCAGGTATATATGTCTGTTGATATGCTTCTGATGAGATGTCTATCTTCCTTAATTGGATGCTAATTCCTTTTTAAATTATTCATTCATAGGGAGCAAGCACCTGAATGGATTTCCTGAGTCATCCATTGAATATCAATGTGGTCAATCTGTGTCCACTTTCTAATGCCCAACCCAGGTATATATGTTTATGTTTTCTTGAACATTTTCCTTTTTTCCCTTTTTTTTTTTGACTGACTAATATTTGCATCCTTAGAATTAAGTAATTTCTCCATACATGTTCGTGCAGGCTGCATCTCTTACCATCTCAAACCTATTTCTTCAACTCAGCAACATTTACAGCTGAGGAAAACAAAAAAATTGGGACTCACACTCACTTCAATCCAATGCAATCTCTGTTGTAATTTGTTGTTTTGTGCTATGGATGAACTTTGTTTAATTAATGATTGTTTAAGTAATATTTGTTTTATTTTGTGTTGTAATAAGCAGTAAAACAGACTTGAGAAATTTCTTGTTTTATGTTTTGTGACGTTAACTATATCAACTTCAACATCTTAATTTCTTTAATCACATTATTGTTCAACTCTTGTGGCAATTGAACCCACATATATATATATATGTAGGCCACAGCAAAAACTAGCTATGTATGTATACAATTATATACAATTATATGAATTTCTCTCATATTTATTTGACCTATCAATTTAGTTAAACTCTTTTGTGGATAACTTGATAGTCTCTGTAACTTACTTTTAGATTTTTTGCAGCCAACACACCCATATTTGAAGATCAACAATTATTTTCAAGTCCAAAATAGTAAGCCGAATTTAGAATGATTCAATGTGCTTTCTTGCCTCTGGCTGCCTCTACACTAGTAATTAGTTGATTCTATTTTTCTCATCCAAATATCAAGTGGTTTTAAAGGATTTGATATTGTCTTTTCACAAAGTGCTCCTCAATTCATATTATGGTTCTTATTTGTTTATCTAAATGTCATTACTATGTTTTCTCTGTATCACACAACCTATTGAACCATGTTGCAGGGCTCTTACATACTGCTTCTCTGAAGCTGAGCCCTAGTGCTCAGCATCTGACTTAATGGAGTTTATGTGAATTGGATATATATGAGTTGGTATAGTTGGCTTATTGTTCAACTCTTGCAGTCGTTCAACCTATACATAGGCCATAACAGACCCAAGGTATGAATTTCTTTCATATTTGATATATTGATTTTGTTAAAAACTTTCGTGGCTAACTTGAGCGTCTTAAGTTCCCTGGTAGAGCACACTTCTGCAGCCCTTTACCGTCTTTCCTCCTGCTTTCAGATTGTGCTTTCTTCTGTACCAGCTGCCTCTACCTTCTTATTCTACACTGGTAAATTTTCAAGATTTGAGTGTTTTTAGATTTTACTTTAACAAATTCCATATGATGCATATCTCTCTTAATTGGATGCTAATTCCTTTATAATTACCAATAACAGTGATTCATGTGTGATCATGTGAAAGTGAAAGGAATAGCAAGTACTCACACATTGCCTGTACATATCAACATTCCCTCACATCTTTTTCTAATTAAAGAATTTTGTGTAATTATTAGTTGTTCAAGAATGAAGAATTTGTTTCCCTTTGAAAAGCTGCGGGATCTTCACATTCATGATTGCAAAGAGTAATAGCATAGAAAAAAGAGAAGGAAATCAGACAATGGATGGAAGAGCTACATTCACTCTTCTAAAATTAACCTACTTTGGGACTTACATGACAAAACAGAATTGAAGAGAACCTGCTTGAGCAATGGTTTGTTATTCTCTTAACTTTCACATTCTAAGTTAACTTCTTAAACTCAATAACTTATTTAAACTTGCGAGTACCAATCCTGTTTTGTCAATTTTTTAATATGGTAAGACATGTCTTAACTCTTCTCATGATTCAGTGTTTTTTTTTTGGGGCCTCAACTCTGATTCAGCATTGCTAATTCAAATCTCACTGAAGTTTTGGCACTAGCTGAAGCGCTCTAAATTTGTGCAATTTACTTCTTTTTAGTAAAATAGAGTGATCCATCAGTTGCTGTGTCATGGTCCCAATAAATTGTTAATTAATTGCTTGCACTTTTCCATCCAAGATTAAGTGGTTTTAGATTCTATTTTAGAGGATTTAATATTGTCTTTTCTCCAATGTGATCATTAATGGATGTCATGGCGGTTATTTGTTAACTTGATCATTGGTACCATGTTTTCTCCATGTTGGCTTAGGGACTCTCTAACCTTATGGCAGCAAGTTTGCTTGAAGAATTGGCCATTGGGGATTTCTTTGTACAAGGATGAGGTTAATGGAGGTTATATGAATGTATATGTAAGTTGGTATAAAAATTAGCCTTTTTATTTTTCTGGTGCTTTGGGTATGGTCTAATTGGATAACTGTCCTTTTGCTGTTGAAGTACCTGCTGGTTCCTCAATAGGGTACAATGTGGCTTTGCTGTGGAGTCGGATCCTCTTAGAGTTGGCAGAAAGGAATTAGCCTTTGTTTCAATAAAAATAATTGAAATAGAGGTTTTCTATCATTTCACCTACTTTGATATTTCCATTTGTACAATTCAACCATCTGTTCCAATGAAACCCGGGGCATTTGAATTGTTTGATATATAGCTGAATTCAACTCTCCTGCAGAAGCCAATAATCTGCTTTTTGTGGAATCCCTGGTTAGAGTTGTGTTTTAAACCCATATTCCTTTTGCTGTCACCAAGTTTGTGGGTTTATTTGACAGGAGAGAGTTTCTGTCGGACTTAGCCTACAGTGGCCATAATTCCTACTGAACTGCTTCAGATATCCACAAACAAAACCCAAGATTTCTTCATGTAAGGAGAGAGTTTTGCAGGCAGTAAGTTTTGGGGTTCTCTTTCATACTTGCACATATGGTTATGTAAATGCTCTGTAAATCATCCCTGAATCTTGCAGGCCACTATGTACTACAACTTGTGGAGCAGGGTTTGTCTATGATCAACACAAGGACATACAAATATAAGTTAATCATCACAAAGGTTTTATGGTAAGAATAATCCCCTATGTTTATGCTTTACTGGATTGGGGGCTAAAATTGATCAACACCATTAGGCTGCACGTACTTATCTTATACATCTCAAGCTTACATGAACATAATGTACTAGGATGATATCCGTTGTGCAGGTAGGCAATCTGGAAGCCAATTATTATTACGATTATAGTGCATTGCCAAGATATGCTCGGACCTGTTATGTGAGACCAAACCAGCTCTGCCTCAAAGCCAGACAAGTGTATTCTTCAAAGTCTCCATACTAACTTGCCTGAACTTTGATGAGTGCAACAATTTCATGAACAAAGTCTTTGAAGAATATACAAAGATGGACATTTTCAGAAAAAAGAGAAGCATCATCAACGATTTCTCTTGGATCCATGGTAACTAGGTGGCTGGTTTTAGCATGTTCCTTGGGAATTGCAGCATTGATCTTGCTGAACTTTGGACCTTATGCGTTGCTCTCCTTCTGGCTTTAGAACTTAACATTAACAATACCAGCCACCACCCTCATAGGATTATCATCAAGAAAATCGCTGGCACTACCAATGCCAGGAGGTGGAGCCCGACCGCTTCACAGCTGATTGGATGGCTAAAAATAGTCTTGAAATCATCAACTTGTGTTTGAAATCCCTTCCAAGGGTATTTTGGCTTATCATTCTTGTTGATGCTGATAGAATTGCAT